GGGAACACAGAGCGACCCCCCCCAACAGCCCCCGCCACCGCTGGCTGTGTGGCTGTGGGTACGAGCAGATTTAGACACTGGGGCTTGTTTGTCCTCTTCTGTCTTTAATAGGAAGATGGATCGCAGCCCGAGCTGCTCACCTTAAAGAAATCACAGCAAAGTGATGAGAGAGGAGAGCACAGGGACAGCTGTTACTGTGCAATATCACCCTTTCCTGTAAAATATGGCTGCCCAGCCCAGCGCGGTGGCTCGGGGGTTGAGCGTCGACCTATGAGCCAGGAGACCACGGTTCGATCCCCAGTCAGGGCACATGCCCAGGTTGTGGGCTCGATCCCGTGTGGGGCAAGCAGGAGGCAGCCAATCAATGATTCTCTCTCATCATTGATGATTCTATCTCTCTCTCCCTTCCTCTCTGAAATCAATAAAAATATATTTAAAAATAAAATAAAATAAGGCTGCTCATGCTGGACCGGCCCAGCTGAGGAGGCACGTGAAGACAGGAAGGCAGATGAGAGAGCCCACGGGCCCCTGGCAGCCCCGGGTGGCGTGGCCAAGAAGCGGGGAGCCGGCCCTGGCGGGGACGCAGGCTCAGGGAAGGAGTGGGGCCAGCCGTGTGGAGGAGTAAACACAACAGCCAGCTGGCTTCAGTAACACAGGGGAAGAGCTTCCGGGGGCAGCAGGTGATGGAGGACCAGAGGGGTGAGAGGAGGCACATGAAGACAGGAAGGCAGATCAGAGAGCCCACGGGCCCCTGGCAGCCCTGGGTGGCGTGGCCAAGAAGCAGGGAGCCGTCCCTGGTGGGAATACAGGCTCAGGGAAGGAGTGGGGCCACCGTGTGGAGGAGTAAGCACAGCAGCCAGCTGGCTTCAGTAACGTAGGGGAAGAGCTTCCGGGGGGCAGCAGGTGATGGAGGACCAGAGGGGTGAGTAACCCGGGAGGGTCGGGACTGGAGCCGAGAGGTCAGAAGGAAAATGGAGAGGCGGAGGCCGGGGAGGAGGGGCTGATAGCTCAATAAGATGGTGAGGTTTCTTCTCACAGGAGGAGGAAGCACTGATGGGCAAACGTGCCCCAGGTGGTGGCACACGGCCTCACCAAAGGCTTGCAGGGCCCACAGGCCAGGCCGGGGCTTCCACGGCCGCATGGAGGCCGGAGGGTGGACCGTGGGGGATGGTGGTGCTGCTGGAAACATGAGGGCTCCAGGCCAGAGGGAGGCACGGAGGAGGGGGGAGGGGAGGGTCACTTGGCCCTAGGTGTGGAAGGCAGCAGCGTCCTGAACCAAAGGAAGGCTGACAAACCGAGAAGCCCACACTGGGGCCCGCGCCGGGCGGCTCTAGCTCTGTGCGTATCTTTAAATCGCCCCGAGAGCCACTGTGATGAAATGGACCGCATCTCTGCAGCGCTGACTGTGGTAAGCATCCGTCTCAGGCCCCCTCAGCACGCAGGCCGGTGCTGCCCGAAGGCTCGTTCTTTACACACTGAACAGCACAGCCGTGAGCAGGTGCACGAATGTGACCAACTCATCTGTCATGCAAACAGCGCTTCAGAAAGAAATAAAATACTATTGTGTGGTATTTGTGTTAGGCAATCACTATATCAGATTCATGGCATTCGGTGCAAACACAGGCAGGGAGAGGAAAACAGCACTTGGTGAGAGAAGGCGCCACCTGGGAGCAGCTGAGGTGGGAGGCTGGAGGCGGGAGGCAGGGGACGGAAGCCTGACCAGCCGAGGCTGTAACCCCCCCATGTGGCCAGTGTCGAGCACCCCTGTGGGGAGCAAGGGCGGGCATGCAGACCACGGGCAGAGGGGCCTTGACCACAGACCAGACTGGGAGGGGCCAGGAGGCATGAGGTAGGGGTGGGCAAGGGGACCGCGGGCAGGGGAGCAGGGGAAGGGGGGCTAAATTGGAGGTAGACATGGGCTGGGACCCAGAAGGCCTGGGATATGTTTGGGGAAAGCAGTTGATGGTCTGTGGAAGGAATAGAGGGAGAGGGAGGCAGAGGAAGACTAGGAGCCGTAGCTCCGTTTCCAGTTGCCACTACCCCCAGACCCCCTCGGGCTTTCTCACTGAGAGCGCCCCTGTGGGGTCTACATGGCGGCGGGGTGTGCGGGTCCAGTACAACACCAAGGGGCACCAGGCTAGGTACCAATACAAACCACCTTGCCTCACCTCATCCTCCAAAAGCCAAGGTTCCCAACCGCGGGCCGGCAGCTCCCCGGATGCGATCACACGGAGAGCGGTGCCTCCAGGATCCCTGCCGTGGCCCCCTGAGCCCCCCTCTCCCGGATGCGATCACACTGAGAGCGGTGCCCCCGGGATCCCTGCCGTGGCCCCCCGAGCCCCCCTCTCCCGGATGCAATCACACAGGGGAAAGCGGTGCCCCTGGGACCCCAGGCTCTGGCCCTCCGAGCCCCCCTCTCCTGGATGCGATCACATGGAGAGCGGTGCCCCCAGGATCCCTGCCCTGGCCCCTCGAGCTCCCCTCTCCGGAGAAGACCCTGCCGCCCTGGCACAGCCTCCCCCTGGGCCCCACTGCCACTCACCCTCCATGGGTGCCCACAGGCAGGAAAGCAGCCTGAGGCCTCGCCCCGGGCAGCTGGGTGTGCGGGTCCAGTACCAACACCAAGGGGCACCGTGCTAGGCACCGAAACAAACCACCTTGCCTCACCTCATCCTCCGAAAGCCAAGGTTCCCAACAGCGGGCCGGCAGCTCCCCGGATGCGATCACA